ACTTAATCTTAATAAAAATTTTTTCATTTCAATTCCATGCATATATAGCTCCAGGTGTAGGCAATTTACCGCCACCAGATTTGACAGCAGCGTCTACTGTATACGTGTAGACCAACCATAACTGCCATGGGATCGCAAAATTTGTTAAAAAAAAAAAAAAAAAAAAAAAAAAAAAAAAAACATTTCTGAACTGATGGACCTGCTAGTCGGCAGATTTCTTTTCAAAATAAACAAATTAAACAACTCGTGCTTGACTACGATGACTGACTTGTTACAATGTTTGGGGTGGTGGTTGTTCGCGCACTACCGCATGTATATATAAGTTCTAGGATAAAGTTCACCCTCAGCCGCATAAATAGAAATATTTCCCATTTTTATTATTATTTTTTTATTTTTTTTTTATTTATTTATTTATTTTTTTTTTTCTGTGTAAAAGTTTAAAGCGTTTTAAGCACTTTTAATTTGATAATAAATGTTTATGGAAGTTTAAAATTGACAAGCGCAACAACAACAACAACAACAGCAGCAGCAGCAGCAACAATAGCAATAATAGCAAGAACGGCAACGAAACAGCAACATTAAGCATAAGAACGAAAACATTAACAAGTGCGCTTAATGCATTTAATGCAAATTTTTTCAGTTAACACTTGACTTGTCAGCACAATTTTCCTTTTATTATTTTATTATTTCTTTTTTGCTGCTTTTTCTTTTTTTTTTTTTTTTGTTTGTTTATTTGTTTGTTTGTTTGTGTGTATGTTTGTTGTTGCTTCATTTTTATTACTATTATTTGCATGTTAACCTTCCTTTTATTTTTTTAATTTTTTTTTTTTGTGGATTCCATTTCAGTTGTTTTTTTGTTGTTTTTGTTGTTGTTGTTGCTGCTGATGTTTTGCTTTGTAATATTCGTCTTGTTCTTCTTATTCATCTCATTCTTCTTCTTCTTCTTTTTCTTTTTCCTTTTCCGTTTAAATGTTAATTACATAATAATGCATAATTATCGCATTAACATGCATTTCACTTTAATTGTTGTTGTTACCGTTATTGTTCTTGTTGTTTGTGTTGTTCATGTTTCGCTATTTTTATTTGTGAACGAACATATTTTATAAAAATAAACAAAAAAAAAACAAAAAAAAATAAAAAACACAAAAATTAACAGCTCATTATACAAATTAATGCAAATGTCTGAGTAAATAATTAATGGTAGCGCGGCAGCAGCTACCACTTGGCTCTTTTACATTAAAGAGAAAACGGAGAATTCTAGAAAAAAAAAAAAAACAAAAAAACGAAAAACGAGAAAAAAAAGCAATAATAAGAAAAACCTGCAATAATTATATAATAGCAATAACAACAATAACAATAATTATGTTATTATCTTGTTAAGTTTCCACACTTTCCGGGCAATTATTTCTTTGCATTTCATTCCCGTCGTGATGACAACAATTGTATTATTATTTTTTTTTTTCTCCTTCTTCTTCTTCTTCTTCTTCCTTCTCCTTTTTATGCCTAACAACTTGAACGAAGGCATGGCGATAAACTTATTTCGTCATTTCATCATAGTACAGAGTATAGTTTATTAAAGTACAGTGAAGTAATGCATTGCTGGTGCTTGCAAAAATTTTAATCATCGTGATATAGGAAATGACAAATACCAGAGTACCAGAGAGTCTGTCCTTCCTATCTCTCTCTCTCTCTCTCTCTCTCTCTCTAATATTTATTCGTTGAACGCTCAAAATTCTTCTTCTTCTTTTAAATTCATTACTAATGTGGTTTGATTTGAAGAAATGTGCTGCCGAAGCGTAGCCAAACATATTCAGAGGCCGACTGATGATGACGCTGATCGCCGCCTGAACTAGTAGCAGTGATTGTGATGGGGAGAAGCATAAGTTGCAAGACTCGAAGAACTTTCGAAGAATAGCTTAGCAATTGACGAATCAATTGTTTCTAGATTTTTACGATGCGATCTATGCGCAATTAGCCTAAAAAGAGCCAGAACGGCTACAACACAATCCTGCCCGAAAATGCCATTTTCTAGCCACATGTTGCGAACGAATTTTCCAGGATTCATTGTTGCAGCGCCGAATGCCCACTATATCGCCTTCCTTGACTATCACTTGTTCAGATCGCAAGCAGAATGGGCTTGACTGGCACGGGGGTCCGCAGAGGTTGCGAGGAATTTGCGAAAACGGATCAGTAGAGTAGAACGCTGCCGAAACCCTTATAAGGTCTTTCGGCACGATATCGTCAATTTTCCACAATAAATGCTTTTCTCGCGTGACAAATTAATGATCAAAATTTTTGCAAACACTTAACAGATTGCCTGCCTACAACGTGGGTGAGGCGTTTTTGTTTTTTTTTTTTTTGATTGGGATGTTTGGCAAGATATTCCGGACCGCACAACGTAAAAAGCATAAGCAATTTTTCTGCAAAAATATTTCTTTGTTTTGGTTGAAAACCCTTTTTTGCTTTTGCATTTTTGCGTCCGGCATTGTCATCAATCCTCTTCTTTACCTGTTTAATGTGTGAAATTCTCATTCCATTCATTTTGTTTTTTTTTTTTTTTTTTTTTTGCGTTAATTAAAATACATAAATATTTGTATATTATTTGCTTAAAAAAATTTTAAAATCGCATAAGGAACTTTGGAATTATACCCAAAATATTTTTACACTCTGTCGTCATGCAAAACTCATGAAGACATTCTTTCCCGACATGTGTGTCTTTTTCTTTACTTTTTTTTTTTTTTTTTTTTTCTTTGCATTCTTGAATCAAGACAAGAATAAGAAATATATGGACATAGAAATATTATAATAGAACGCTTCGTCATGTCGTCATCATAATACAATTTGAGAGAGATATTTTAAGAGATTTCCTTTTATTTCCCTATCCCTAATATCGACTAAGGATGACATTTTTTTTTTTTTTTTGTTGCTTTTTTCATTAAATTTATGCTATTCATATGTCCCTATATACTATACAGGTAGCGCTCTAACCACACGCAATCTTCAATAAGAATTTTTGTTTAAAGCAAAGAACGAAAGGAACAAAGAATAATTATGTGCAGCGATACGGATATGTGACACCTTTGAATATTAAATCTGTTCATTTTATTTAACCTTGACTATGCAATGGAACTGCATGTACGTATACGAAATGTGCCATATCGATCTAGGGATCGTCCAGAAATAGTTTAAACTTTTCAACATATATTTCTTAGGTTACAAGAATTAAGAAAAGGAGAAGGGAGAGAGGCAGAGCGAGAGAGAGAGAGAGAGAAATTTGATGGCAGACATTCCCTCGCTATTGCGTACAGATGATAATGACTATGCCATGGGAATGTATGTGTAAGAAATGTCCCACACCTTCATGAACCGATCTACAGATCGTCTAGAAATAGTTTAAACTTTTCAATATATATATTTATTACCTTACAGGTAGAGAGAGTGAGAGAGAGAGAGAGAGAGAGAAAGAGACGCCAGTTTTGGGTCACAAATACCCTCAGATGAGTTTAGGAGATAAATACTAGATGATGAAAAACTCTTATGTATGCATAAGTGAGGCAGTTGGTTCTAGTAGTCAGGTCCAGAAATAGTGTAAATTTTTCAATACATATTTTTTATGTTACAAGAAGAGAGAGAGAGAGAGAGAGAGAGAGAGAGAGAGAGAAGTTTTGGGGCAGAAATTCCCTCATTGTTGCGTTCATCTGTACGCAGTGACGTCGGACGAGATAAAGAGTGATGAAGTTACTCTCATACGTAAGACGGTTGGTTCCATAGTCGGGGCTGATTTGTCGTGAAGCAACTGAATCGCCGAGTGAAAGTATGAAAACAATCGAAGCTTTCAAGTAACAACATCTACACTACGACATTGATATAAACCCCTAATCTAGTATTAAATAAATTGGTTCAGGTTTTACTATATCAATTTCAGAATATCGATTCTGATCGCAATTTTCAAGATATTGATGAACGCTATTGCAATTGAATTCGATCCGATAAGATTGTACGACAAAGCGACTGAGATTTCTGAGAGAAATTTTCCATCTTAATTATATCTCGAATGAAAGGAGCGATGAAAACTTTCAATTAGATCAAATACTTGGACCCTTCTTACCTAAAACAAGATTTCTTCTATTCCAGATATATCTAATTTTCAAGATATTATTATCAAAATTAATAAAGAGTAATTATTATAAATCTGAATAGATTTACTACCGTAATTTTCGAATACAAAAACATGACCCTTCGGACAATTTTTCAAAGAAGGCTTCCCACGAACACTCGGCTTTTATACGACAAAAAAGTATAGTTTTTAATATATATTCATACGAAAATAGATAAAGAATTGCCTTACGAGACTTAGTGTAGGGCATTTAAAAGTTAATCCTATTGGAGTGCAATTCTTTCAACTGATTCCCGTATTAACTCATGCATTTTACATATATAAAATCTATGACATCATCACTTCTTATGATTACATCTAACACTCACTCACACTCATGCAGTGTATCGATGAAGGTTGTGAACCTTCATACCCTCTGATCTGTCCCTTTTGTAGAGGAACCGCTTTCGATTAAATTTAATTGAATATCAAATAACACTCGCATACAAGCAAGTGCATGCAAATATCCGGATACCGTTATGATATTAAAAAAAGAAAAAGAAAATCAAAGCAAAGAAAAACGCCATAAAGCAAAGCAATCTGAACGTTCGCGGGTGATGAAGAGAACAAAAAAAAAACAGGGAAAATATTGAAAGTTTGTTTTGTATTGACTCTCGTTACACGACGAAATGTAATAAGTTGTATGTAGTATTACGAATAGTACGTGCAGGCCGGTCACAATCCGTTACCCACGATAGCCCTGTACTTTTTGTATGTATGTGTGTGTATGTATGTATGTGTGTGTGTGTATATATGTATAGATTGGTATATGCTGTAGCGATCCAATATCAATTTCGCTTTCACATAAATTTTTTAAATGATTTCGCTTTGTCTTTTAATATAGGTTTGGTTCCAAAATCGTCGGGCCAAGTGGCGTAAAACTGAAAAATGTTGGGGTCACAGCACTAAAATGGCCGAGTACGGCCTTTACGGAGCGATGGTTAGACATTCACTGCCATTACCTGAAACTATTATTAAATCTGCCAAAGAGGATGAATCTGTGGCACCTTGGCTGCTTGGCATGCATAAGAAATCGCTAGAAGCGGCTGAAGTTTTAAAATCGGATGAAAGCGATCGTGAAACTCCCACCTCCGATGATACAAATACCTCATATTCGGCGGGCAGTACCCATAATTCACCAATATCATCGTTTTCAATATCGCGTCTATTGTTCGATAATAGTCATCATCAAAATAGCAAACATCATAAAGGCTCACAAATCGGTCATAATTTGAATGGTAATCAGCAGACAGCAGCCAATGCACACGATATGTTGACGGCAGCAGCGGCTCATCATAGTGTTATGCAACATCATCCTTATAATCAGCAGCAACATTTGCATCATTTACAACAGTTGCATCAACAGCATCAACATCATCAGCAACAACAGCAACAACATCAGCATCAATTAATGATGGCCGAGGCTGCCGAAATGCAAAGAAGACGTCAACACGAAGAACAATTGCAAAAAGATCGACAACAACAACAACAACAACAACAACAGCAACAGCAACAATTATCACATAAACATTACGATGTAGAAAATGATGAGTTAATGTGTGATAACGACGACAACGACGAAGATGATTGTGATAAAGAAGAAATCGATATCTGCGATGATAATGAAGATGAGCGACGCGAGCAAACGCAACGAGCAGAGAAATTGTTAATGCTGACCGAGCAACAACAGCAGCAGCAACAACAGCAGCAGCAGCAACAATTGCTTGCACAGAGCGCAGATAAACGAATAAAATGTGAAAATCAAGACGATAGATGAAATTTATTTATTGACATTTTAATGTAAGATAATTCCCCATAAGCATAAATAATATATCAAATAGTTAGGGCAACCAACTAACCGATACTCATCCGTTTATCAAATTATTATAATGAAATAAAATTAAATAAATAAATAAATAAATAAATAAATAAATAAATAGAATGAAAAAGTAAAAGGGAAAAGAAAAATAGCATTTCTTTGAGCACAACTAAGACCCAAACCCCGTACCAAACACTTTTTTTTTAGTGAAAATAAACTTAATTTTTGAACCAATTAGAAAATAATATTAATCTGCAGGCCGAACGCTAGAAACGTTCAAAACATGAAAACAGTAAGATATGAAAAATGAATAATGAGAAATCATTTTAGAAAATTTAAAACAAATTTTGTATAATATAAGATAAATATAGATATTCGAAAAAATAAAGAAAAACAGAAAAAAACGAAAAAATGTCATATACTTGGAGCGAATGCAACATGACAGCTTACTTAATACAATTATATATTAATTAAAAAAAATAATAAAAAAAAAAAATTGTAAATATTTGTAAAAAATTAAATTATTTTGATTTTATGCAACGAGTTCTCTTGCTTTTGTTTTGTAAATATTTTGCTTTTGCGAATTTTATCACCAGTGCACTTCACATTTATCTTCTTCTTTTTTCTTTTTTTTTTTTTTTCCTTCATCTTTTTTTATTTGTGATATATAAGAAATTTTAATAATATTTAATCGAATTGAGTTAAGTATCTTGCAAAAAACAAAAATAAAAATAATAATAATAATAATAATAAAACAAATACTTAATAAAAAAAATATTTAATGTTTAGAAAATATATTAGAGGAATATATATATATATATATATATATATAGAACCAAAATAACACTAAAGAAATACAACTAATATACCTATAAATGCAAAATCTTTCTTATATTGAACAATATTGGGTTGTCGCAAACGTCCGGCTTGACGCGCTCCGATCACTTATATCAGTGTTATACGACATGAGAGAATTATTAATTCCAGATTATCTATTCTTTAAAAAGCAATTTGCCGATTCGGTTCAGTTTTGAAGGTTTCGAAACTAGGAATACACCATAAAACGAGTCGTAAGCATAATCATTGCTTTGATATAAGGCCTGTCGTAAAGTTTCTAAATTAAATAATGTTACTGCCATTAACCACCAAATGAGTCCAATAGGAACGGCAAGTATAAAATCAAAATATTATTTAGGTTGAATCGGTTCTGCCCGTCGCCATTCAGGCGTTCGTGACTAACATGAAGAAGCCGACATGCTATGTATTCTATCATTTCTTGCCGATAAATCGCAGAACAAAGTTGAACCCTTTGAACCTGATGTCCATTTGCTTTTATACATAGCTAACATATGATATAAAAAATAAATAAAAAAAATAATAAATGATTGAGTAACATTTTGAGTTTTTTTAGTTTTTAACATCGGTTTTACGGCGGATGTTGAATATTCCTTGTAGATGGAAATTTCAGGTGGAGATCATAAAAGTTGTTTCGTTGTTGTTGTTTGCTATACAGTAAGAATTGCTTATATTATTACATTTTTCAAATATGCCTGCAAGTAGATTAAAATTATTTTAAGCTTTGTTGCTGCCTAACGAAGTAGAAGTAGAGGGCTTTTTTTTTATCTCCATCTATGCAAATTTGTTTTACTTATTTAAAAACAGAGGGCTAATCGACCGAACTAAATCTTTTCCGTACCTTTTTTTACACGTTAAGAAGGTTACACTCAATGCAAGTGTTTAGGTAAATTCTATCACACAAAAGGTAATTTTTTACAAAATTCATTTTACAAAATTCTTTTGCCTTCCCTTTTTGTTCGATTGAATTCTTTTCTCGCAGTCTTCATCTCTAACGAGAGATGAGTATTAGATTTTATATTCCACTCATCCCACAAATGTAATATTAATTTTCGTACAGTTTCATCTTAATGTCGCTAACACAGTTTATTTTGCGCTTACTTAATTTTCTTTTCGGAGTTATTCAAATACGAGCTGGCAATACCTTTGCATAAATTTTAATACCATAATACATCTCTGTTTCTTACATAACGTATCTTAATTGTAACCTCAAACTAGAAGATTTTTTTCTTCCTCACTGGTAGTGAAAAGCAAATCGTTGAGAAAACATTTGTGCAGGAAAATTCAATAAAGAAGTAAGTTCGTCTTATAAATATCATAAAAGGAAATGTTTTTTATTTATTTTTTTTTATTGTAATATTATTCTATTCATCTATTCAGCTGAAACAATGGCAGGCGGTGATGATGCTAAACTAACTGGTTTATCTAAATATTTCAACGGCACCACTACTGCTGGCCGCGCTAATGTAAAATTGCTGACATTACTGGCTATTGCAATAATGATTACTTAATCGTCTGATTATATATTCCAAAAATTTCAGGTGGGCAAAGCCACTTACGCGGTTATTGGATTGATTATCGCCTACAACATGATGAAACCAAAGAAGAAGTAAACATCGGCAAAAGCAAGTGTAAACATGAGAAGATTTAGTTTTATGCCGCTCGTTTCCTTTTTTTTTTTTAACATATTTCGATAATTAATTGTGATTGTGTGATTTATGCAAGTCAAATTTAGGACGAATAAAATAAAGGAATAACGGAGGACAAGCCGTTATTCATAAAAACACAAAAAACGGTTGTTTCTTACCAAGTTCATGAAAGAGAGACGTTATGTCCGAACAATGAGTTGTGATCACAATTGCTTCGCAAGCGCGACCAAAGTTGGGAAATAGATTAGATGGAGGATGATCCTATACATATATATACATATACTCTATATCACTTTTTGTTGCCATTGCTGAGACATGTACTTAAATGTAATGTTTTCAATGTCGCACACACTTTCCTTATCAAATGTGATTCGCTGTGACGGCATCTTTTCAGAATTCAACGTCTTACATCGTTTATATAATGGATAATTGTGTACTTATGTTCAGCTTTTGTAATTATACACGCGTGCATAGTAAAAACTTGAAAAATTATGTTTTGATTTAAAAGATTAGTATCCTCGCAATTTTCCACATGATTTTGCAGATTCAATCAAAGCTGAAATGAACAGTAAACTCAGCTATTAATTTTCCATGGTCTGACATATTGAAATTTTGTTAAAATTGCTGTCAAACTATCCCAATTAGCTTAAGTGTTTTACGCAAAATACTTTTCATGTCTTTAAGGTCTGCATCCACTGTACACTTTCCCACGATCGAAAGTTCTATTAAAACGGTTTTGAATATTGTTCAATAAAAATTGAGGACGGGCAGGAGAACGTTTTCTTACTAAGAATCCTGTCTTCTTACCCTTTTTACAAAATATTGAAAAATTGCAGTTATTATACGGGAAGCAAATGAACGCGATACCCCCAGATGGAATTTTTTTAGCGTTGATAAAAAATTTGATAATTAATATACGCTTTGTGCTTTTCCTGGACAAAACACTTCACTTCAAGTTAAACCCTAATTTCTCGTTATTTCCAAATACAACGCAAATCTTCGCTTATTACCAGCATCTCCTGCCGAATTCCTAATGAATATTTTCATCCAGTCTCTCTCTCTCTCTCTTCTCGATGTCACTTTGAAGCTATAATCATAGCGAAGATCTACAAATCATGTCATGTTCCTACACGTAACGCTTAAAACGTACTTAACAAACTGTTATAATGATTACAATGATGATTGATTGTATGTGAATTAATGAGGAAAAAAAAAAACGCATTCTACTCCATTTTGTTTTCGGGATAGAGAATGTAAGTTTTTTCTGAATTTTTTATTTGCCATATTTTTTTTTTTTTTTTTTTTTTTAAATCTTTTACCATTTGTGTGTGTTTATGTTGGTTGTTGTTTTAATTATAATATTTTGTTGTTGTAATGTATATTAATTTTTATAAATTGCATTTATATAGATGCGATTTTTTTTTTCTTTTCTGCATTCATAGTATAATAATGGATTTCTTGATTACTTTTTCTTCTTACATGTATTTATTTATGTCAAAAAATTGCGAAATGAAAAACATTTGATTTTGCATTATATAGAATGGGATTAATAATAATAATAATAAAAAAAAAAAAAACGAATTCATTCTCACTAAATAGCTTTTTGTTTATGTTTTTGTTACTTCCATTATTGCAGCAGCTAAAATTAAGATTATATGAAGTTTATATATGTAATGTATGTAATTAGTTGTTGTTTTTGTTATTGTTTTTTTTTGTTGCTGTTGTTGTTGCTTGTTGTTGCTTGTTTTGACAATATTTTATAAATATGTATAGGGTTTGCTTTTTGGGAGTTTATTTTCTTTCTTCCAGTAATAATTATTATTACAATTTTATTTACTTTTAAATCTTTCTAATAACGACGCGGTAGTAGAAAACAGAAAAAAAAAAGAAATAAAAAGACTAAAAAATAAAAATAATAATAATAATATTAATAAATAAAATTGAAACAATCAACAAAAAAAAAAATTTTTAATTTTACAATTTGTTGACCGATTTTTTGAGAAAGTTATGTTGTTTGTTCAATAGTGTTTAATCTTTATTATTATTCATTGAGGGAGAGACCTTTGTTTTTTTTTTTTTTTTTTTTTTTTTTTTTTTTAATAATTTTTTGAGAAAGCCAAGATCTCTTCTTGATAAATTTTAATTTTGAAACATTTAGGTAAAATTATTATTTTTTCTTGTTATTTATTAATTTATATATATATATATTTTTTTGTTTCTTTTTTAATAAAAATGTTTCATTGCGCATCAATATTTCAAACTTTCCATGTATCATTCGTTTCTCTTTCAGGTTAGATTCAACGATAAATTAAGCCTTTTTGCTGTTTTTGGAAAATAATAATTCCGTTTACACATATTTTTCTTTTCTAAATTCTATTAGTTTTTTCTCCTGTGTAATGAAAGTAAAAATTTTATTTGATTTCATTTTCTAATTTTGTCTTAGCCGAGTGTAGATGAGTAAATTTTATTGTAATGTCTGTCTGGAATCATTATATATATATATATATATATATAGTTTTTCAAGTCTTTTGGGTGAGATTTTAAATTTGCTATGTATCTGCCTTGATTGCCTTATTAGCATTATTATTATTAAATCACAAGCATATATAATAGTCGTAGTGATCAATAGCGAGTCGGTGAGTCAGCGAGTCAATAACATGCACAGCTTTTCGCTTTTTCGCTCTTCATAAGTTGGCGCCTAAAGTCTTGCAATTATTTTGATGTTTTCTAATTTAATCCCCCTCATTATTTTGCTCTCTTGTAACGGTATATTCAAATATCAACAATTGGGTAAAATGCAACACTCATTTAATATAATTAAAAAGCAAAAAATTTTTCTTTTCAGCTCGTCTTTATTCGCTTTCCCTATTAACTGATGGCAGCATATGGAATAATACAATGTCGCTGTCACTTGTGAATGGATTAATATAATTTATATAAAGAATTTATGTTTATCATCGAACCGTCCTCCACCCTTTATCTCTCTCACTGCCAGCCTGGCTGCCATACAAGCCATTAACGAGTTAGGTTTAATTTATATTTTATTTCTTTTGATCTCTGTGCTTACAAGTAGAGCAGTTAATATTTCTTTATTTAATTTTTTTTATTTATTATTTTTATTTATTTATTTTTTTTTTTATTTCTATCCGATTTCAAAACTTAGTTTTTTTTTACTTCATCAACATCATGAAATCATGTGGGAAAAAGTGTGTATTTCGCTGTTGTCAATGTTGACTTTTGTTTTTATAGGTATGTACGTTTGCATGCACGTGTTAAAACTATATAAAATATAGGTTAAAATTAAAAATATATATTTATTATAAGACAATAATGTATAAAGGACATAATATTAATTTAAAAAAAAAAAAAAAATTACAATTAAAAAAAAAAAAAGAAAAATAATGTTTATTGTTGTTGTTGCTATTTCAAACGAATTAATAACATTACTACTTGTGTAGAGTTGGTTTTTTGTTTTATTTCTTTATTTATTTATTATATTACCCAACGAAAAATGTTGAAGAAATCATTTGCTATGCCTTTCTTTTCTCCTTCTTATATTCGCATTCAATTGAAAATAGAAAAAAAACTTGTTTAAAAAAAAAATAATTCTTAAATTTTTTTTATTCTCTATTATACTTCAACAATTGTTGCTGTTACTTATCTTCTGGGACGTGTGTGTTCCTATCCTGTTCGCCGGCTTAAAACGTATTTCAAGACATATATATATATATATATATATATATATATATATATATATATATATATATAGGCATATG